CATAGTATGGCATTTTTGAGAGAGAGAGGAGAAGAAGATAAGAAGATTGATATATAATATACTGCTTGGCCAAAAAAGAAAAAGTTCTCACCTGTATTTAACAAAGCAACTAAGTATGAGCCCCTTATTGTATAATTACTGCATGCACAACTATCTTTCAGCTGTTATTTAACCCCAACTGATGCAATGAGTTGCTTCTCATTTCTTAAACAACCATGCAGAAAGACATCTTGTGGTCGTGGAAAATATCTTAGTCTGAGAAGGTTCAGATCATTGGCATGCATCAAGCAGAGACAACATCTAAGGAGATTGAAGAAACAACTAAAACAGAGTTAAGAACTGTCTAACGTTTTATTAAAAACTGGTCTGGTGAGTCTAGATGGACCCTGTTCCAGAGTGATGGTGCATCAGGGTGAGAAGAGAGGGAGATGAAGTGATCAATCAATCAAATCAAATCAAAGATAATTTATTAATCCCAGAGGGAAATTAGAGTTTCAGTACACACAATTCAGAGATCAGACATACATAGGCAAGACACATGACAAGAACTGGTGACTGTGGTCATTCGCAACCCTGAGTCGCACTACCTTAATAGAGATAAGAGGGGTTTACATGAGGATTGGTTCAGGTGGAGGGAAAAAAAGGCACTTCAGAGTTGCCCTCCCACCAGGAGGGCAGCTTTGCTCTGCAAAAAAACACCTCAGACAGACAGATATGCAACAGACTTCAGACAACACAACCTAAGTGTCCACTAGGTGGGGTGGTGGGTTGGGACTATCCCCACTTCAGTTCCTGTAGCCAAGATGAAGCAGCGGGGGGGGGGGGGGGGGGGGGCATTGAGGGTTGGAGGGTTGCAGTGACCCTGGACGCTTCAGCGGCCTTCCCGCAGTCCTGACCAGGCTGGGAAAGGAGTCAGAGTTGAGTTGCCATAGCGACGGAACATTCCACAAATCTTCTGAGGGGGGAGTTTTCGTTGGAGCCTTGCAGGCTCAAGGACGCCAGATTCCGATTGGAAATTGTTTTGGGGACAGACAGAGATAATTTCCTCTCTGTCTTACAGTTTGTTGGTCCTCAACCTCTCAGAATCCCAATAATAATGGACGTTAATCTATCCCAATCCGTGCTGATTCGTCCACTCTCTCCTTGATGGCATCCATCTTTTGTGCCAAAGAATGAATCTCCGCCAAAGTCCCAAGCTTACGATTCATCTCGACAATTATTTGAGTCTGTGAATTCACAGCGCGGTGCAAACCATCTCTGAGCTCTGGGATCAGGCCAATATTCCTTGACAGCTCGTAAATTTTCCGGTAAGCCAGGTAGCCTCCAAGGCCAATGAGCAGGAAACCTGACACCAACACCCATCGTGCCTAGTGCCTACCGTACAAGCCTGTGTATGATCTGGGGTTGCTGCAGTTGGTCAGATCTAGGTTCAGCAACAGGATGTGCCCCAAAAATTAGGTCAGCTGACTAGCTAACAGTTATTAATGGTAGACCAATAATATTGAACATCCCTAAGCGAATAATTTGGCTCCTAATAACTTCTATTTTGTTTTTCTTTTAATTTTATGGTAAATACCCTATACCAAGCACCTTTTTGTTTAAGTGGAAAAGCCACCATTACTAATCAGCAGTTATGCTTGTGAACGCTTTCCTCCAATATTTCTGTCGTTTGTTTAAAAAAAAAACATAATCATACAGTCTTCTTTTTTGACACTTATAGCATTTTGAAAGATTAAAAAAAACTTTTTTTAATCACATTAATCTGATCTGGTATCAGAAAAGTAAGACTTTCTCACAATTTATCTTTTATGCTTTAGAAACTTTGGTAAAAGCAAGAAAAACAAGCCCTGTGAGAGCCAATCCTTTTAGTTACTCTTCTTTCAGTTATCAGCGTCCACGCAGAAGCTCTTCTCATTTCCCTACAAAACCGGCTGCACGTTCAGCTTTTATTAGCAGCCTGGAGATAGTGGTCTGAGTGATGCTCGCCTCTTGTCTGCACAGTTTGGGCGAGATAAATCTATATTCAAACAACTCGTCTTTATAGCAAAAAGCAAGAAAGTCGTTTTCATTATGGAATGTTGTCAAACGACAAGCGGTGCAATGTCACCCTTTCAGTCAAGGTTTTAAATGAAGGAAAGGTTGACAGCATATAAAAGACTGTTCAATAGCTGATTGATCACTGACTGTGGTGTTATACATTATCAGGGGAAAGTTTAATGAGTTGCAAGGCTACTTCTTCTGGATACATGCGTGGGGAGGTTCTCTGTCACCTACTGGGATGTTCTTTTGCCCTTGGTTTTATGTATATGAATTTATTAACTCTTGAGATTCTGTTTTAGACACAGTTTGGACTTCCCAGTGGTCTCTGTCCACACATTCATTCATGGAGCTGAGCTCTTTCTATTGCACCTTCACCTGATTACATGGGGCCCACCATATTAGACAGCAAAAGCATAGTTCACCATGAGCGAAACAAGTATTGAATAAAGAAAAAAGTAGTGCCTTAGAGTGTGATTTATTGTAGTTTTTTGCAATGTTTAGCATGGCTTCAACTAGTTCAAGCGCTGTTCAGTTATCGGAAGAAGTAGTTCATTCAAGCCTGGTTCTATTAAGTTCTTGACTGATCCGAAGTGTAAATAAGTCCAAATAGGGCTGGGCATTATGAAAAAAATGCCTATCACAATATTATTTTCCGCATCAGTCGATATTGATATATATCATTATCTAAAACAAATCACTATTTTTGGCCTCCACTTAAGAGTTCTGCAGCCCCCCAAGGCTGTTTCCAACACAATCAAACATTCACATGCTGATGATGATGAGCTACAGCTACAACCCTTGGGCACACTGACAGAAGCGAGGCTGCTGAACACAGATGCCACCGGTCCCTCTGACCAACAACCAGCAAGGCAATGTGGGTTAAGTGTTTGTACGTTAAATCATTTCTATTTGACTGTTTCGTTCCAATACCTCCAGTGGTTCCCTAACCCTAGGCAAACACACATACACACCGGCAAAAACATTACTGCTAGCCTATTTTAGCAGTTAGAGATAAACAAACAAATCCTAAACGTTCTCAATCAAAAGTTTGTGACGAGTTGAAAATGGCAGAAGAATCGCATTTTGTGTGGTTGGATTTGAACAAAGTTCCAAGTAGAGCTTCAACATGCAACAAGAAGAAACAGGAGTGAGACAAAACATTTTCTGAGCATGCAATTTATTAACAATGCTTAAATGGACTGCTGTACATTGGGCTGTAACAGCACAATGGCTAATTATTAGACACTGAAACATTTTTTTTATTTTTCTCTGAGAAATGATTTTTTTTCGTCTTCTTTGTCCAGATGCAGATTTTAACAGAATTAACTAATTTTTTGTTTCTCAACACTTCAGAGTTTCTGTATTGTGTGATAACATTCTCATGGAGCAGTGAACCAGTCCAGACACGTTGCTTTAGCACACTTTCAGTACACCACCGTCATGCTAGAGTATGTGCAGAATGTAGTTCTACTAAATAATCATAACCTCTCCCAAAAAAGACGTCTTCTGAATAACAACATATTTTGCTCTGAAATGTTAAGCATTGGTTGTGCAAGTCAGCTCTCTTGCACCGATGTCCTCAATGACATCACACATTCAGGTTTTTCACGGTGCACTGATAGCAAGCATGATTTTCACCTGGATTTTCAATATTTGCAAGACTGCAGGACATGTATCCACTTTGTTTCAATCTCATAAAAGCTGTGGCTCAGAGTGAACAGCAGTGGTTCCTATTCTTATAAATCCCTTTTTTGTTTGAACTTGCTTTTGTGAACAACACTTCTTGATAAAAAATGTTTTCTTTAAAGTTTTTGGAGCACTTTGAGCTGTGTACAGGGCCAAAGTTGTAACAAAAGTACTCTGTATAAACCTGTGAGTAAAATGTTGCTCTCTAAAGAATATTACTAAATATTTTACATACCAACAATATGAAAACATTTTAAAGGGATACTATGCAACATTTTCACATTTTCTAATTATTTTCTTGAGCCGGTATGTGCTCAAATGACCCTCACACCCCCATCACCCTCGATGGCCAGAATACCACATTTGCAACTTCAGAGTGCCGGTCCGGTCTGTTGGGGAAAAAAAATGGAACTGATATACCTGGCGCTGCAGTCTGCTTCCAGCGTGCTTCCTGCATGTTTTAGATCATGAACACAGCTGACTTGTTTAATGTAGTGGTGAATCACTCCTGTAGACACTAATGAAGGCTGGGGAGAACAGATTAAAGCAGTGGTACTCACTCCTGGTCCTGGAGAGCCGGTATCCAGCATGTTTTAGTTCTAACCCTGCATTAACTCACCTGATTTCAATCAGCAAGTGATTAACAGGCTTCTGAAGAGCCTGATGAGCTGCTGCACTGTTGATTCAACCACTGATTTAAGTGTGTTGGAGCAGAGAAAAAAGGAAAACATGCTAGCTCTTGGCTCTCCAGAACCTGTAGTGAGGACTGCTGGATTCAAGCGTTAAAAAAGCGAATGCGCAGCGAGGAGATACGTTTTGTTTTGGTTCCATTAAACAGACACTAGGGGGTGATAAAAGCAAGCCAAAACTGCCAAGTCTCCCTTTAATCTGTTGATCCATCACAGTCTTTAAAAGTTGAAAGGAGTCGTCATTTCCATTTCTGAAAGACCCAGTGTTGACTTTTTTGTGCCCACTCACGTCACAAAGGAACATTATTTGTGTGAGTTTTTAACCAGATTTCTTTTTTTCCAATAAAGAAACTGTAAAACCCAATTCTACTTTTATTTTAATGCTTTTAGCATCTACTATAATATTAAACCAGTTTGATTTTCAACCCCTAATGTCATAGCATGTTTGGAAAAAAATAATAAAAATAGGTTAATTCAATTTTAAACTATCTTGACTTTATCTTGATATTTTGGACTATTGGTTGTTTTCAGTAAATGGAAGATAAAAACTGTTAATTCTGTTTGTTTATTTGCTCCTTTCTCCAGGACCAGTAAGCAGTGTGCTGGTCCATCGATTTGGAAGTCGACCAGTTGTCATGATGGGCGGATTAATGTGTGGGGTTTCTATGGTAACTGCATCTTTTGGGAGCTCCATTGTCTATCTCTACATCTGCACAGGAATAATTGGAGGTACACTATAGTTGGAATAAAATGTTTTATTTTAAAAAGATTTAATTTGTTTTACTGGCTGAACATTTTTTAACAGTCCTGATTTGAACGCCTGTAATTTAGTTTCCCAGAGACAAATATAAATTTTTTATTTGTTTGTACTTTTACCTACTAGTCTCTTCCCCCATTGATTAACTCTCTGTAATGTTTGCATCCATTCACATCCTTTTGGTTCAGATAGGTCCCCATGTTGACTGTCCTGGGCCTTGTACAGCTCTCCCAACTCCTGAGGTGCAGTTTCTGCACTAAGAGGGCCAGCAGTAGGACAGTAATTAAGACAGAACTCCCTCAAATCCCACAGAGGATAGTCTTTTATTGCCCTCCTCACATGGGGCCTCTCTGTCACCCTACGAGGCTCATTACCCTGCCAAGGGCTCCTATGAAGGATTAATAGTCCCAGCAAGTGGCTAAGTCATGTCTGGTGGCCCTGCTATGCTCCCATGTGCCTAGGCACAAAGACATAGGCAGCAGGACGTTTTACCTACCAGGCATCCTGTCAAATGCTCATATACACACACTAAAGCTCACACATGCAAAAATAGGAGGCTTTTCATACAAATCCCTCTGCTTTTTCTTATTTTATCCAAATTACTCTTATTTTAAGGACTGGTTACCCTTTTTATGATAGCCAGTGTGAGAACATGTTTAAAGAAATTGCTGCAGCTCTGATATCATGCTGGTTCTTGGCAATGGCATGTATGGTGTGAAATCCCATAAACAACAAGGACAATATTTGCTGAATAGTTGGGAAAAAATGAGCAAAAGCACATTTACATCAGATATCCTTCTGATTGATTGGAAATAAACATAACATTTGTTTCGACTTGTTTTTCACAGGAAACACACACACACACACACACACACACACACACACACACACACACACACACACACACACACACACACACACACACACACACACACACATTCTTATGAGTGTTCCTGTGGATCCAAACAGGAGTAGAACATTGACTTTGTAAGAAGAAAGTCTAGAACCACCTGGCTGCAGCTTTTCCTTTTCCATAAATTAAATTAATACACCCAGACTACAGAAACGGGAGAATGAATTGATTACCCAGGCTCCTAATTTATTTCTATCTTCATGGAGAAATTATTTCTGAGAACATTTGTGCTTTCTGTAATGAGATTTTGTTGGCAAAAGTAAAACGAGATGAAACTGAAATGAGCACCCAGCGCAATCAGTCGTAATTTAACTTAGTTTGTGTTCTCTGGAGTTTTGGTTCTCCTGAGGTTGTACTCATAAAACATGACTTTTTATTTTTCTCTCCCTAATCTTCTTACAGGCTGGGGACTCTGCTTCAACCTGAATGCGTCCCTCACCATCATCAGTAAATACTTCCTCGCAAAGCGACCATTAGCCAATGGCCTTGCCATGGCTGGGAGTCCAGTGTTCCTCTGTTTCCTGGCCCCTCTCAACCAGTTTCTCCTGGGCCAGTTTGGATGGAGAGGGAGTTTTCTTATTCTCGGGGGCATGATGCTCAACTGTTGCGTTGCAGGTGCCTTGATGAGACCTGTGACTCCATCTCAAAAACCACCATCTGGTCCTCAGGCCAACGGGATCCAGCCCAATGTTGGAAATACTAAGAAAAACGGAAAGTGCATGAGAAGAACTAAGCAGTTTGTGGATTTGTCCTTCCTCAAAGACAGGGGCTTTGTCATTTACCTCGTAGGAAATGTGCTGTACATCTTCGGTGCCTATTCGCCCATTGTGTTTCTGTCTGCCTACGCAGTAAGCCAAGGTGTAGATGAGTACTCTGCAGCCTATCTGCTCTCCATCATGGGCTTTGTTGACATGTTTGTTCGTCCTGGCACTGGTTTGTTAGCCAACAGCAAATGGATCAGGCCAAGAATCCAGTATCTCTTCAGCTTTGCCATGGTCTTCAATGGTACATGCCACTTACTGTGCCCTCTGATGAAGAGCTACCCTCTGCTTGTGGCCTACTCTGTATTTTTTGGTTTCAGTTTTGGCATGGTTTTTGCCCTGATATTTGAATGCCTCATGGACCTGATGGGAAATCAACACTTCCCCAGTGCTGTTGGACTAGTGACCATTATAGAGTGCTTCCCCATGCTTTTGGGCCCACCTACTGCAGGTAATATACTCTGAACACATTCCATTTACAGACATAACTAACTTAAAGCACTTAATAATTTTATTTTATATCAGAATTCACAACCAGATCATGAAATATACTAACATTTTTCATTAAAGCACAAGTAAAATATTTAAACTCAATTGTGTGCTAACCAAATCAGTGCAAGTTACCAGAGCTGTATTATAACTATAGAGCTTATCTAAACTCTTAGATGTGTTAAAATATAGAAGAGAAATAAGCATCCCTTTGCCATTTTGTCTTTACATTTTGCTTTTTGCCATGGACCTGAGACGCAGCATAGATCGATATCAGTTTATATCGGTATCGGAAATAAAGAGTCAGACAATATCGGTAAAATGGCCAGTATCGCGCATCCCTATCAGGAGGTATAGCAGTAATGACCTTAGAGAAGCAACTGTGCTGCCCAAACATCTCTGAAAGGGTATTCATAATTTCCAGACAGAAAATTAAGTGGAAAACCCTAAGCAAGCTGTCGGTCTTCCTAGGAGTGAACATCCCTGAAAGTTTTCCCCTAAGGTCAGATTGCACAAAGCTCAGAGATACATCCAAAAAGAAAGAGCTCCATCTCAGACCACATGTCTAGGTTAGCAAGTTAAAGCCCACTGTTGAAGAACTGAGGTAACATGGCTTATTTAAAGGGTTGCCAGAGAAAACACATTTTCTCTCTAAAAAGAACAAAACAGAATGACATAAACTTGTAAAGTTGAATCTAAGCTCCCAAGACTTCTGGAACAATGGTATTTGAACAGAATGGACAGTTGAGATATTTACCCTTTACACACAAATAAAGCTTATTAGCACAACAGTTCAAACAAGCTGTCAGCATGGAGGCCGAAGGCTGATGGTTAGGCAGGGTATCCCCGGGTCCTTGAAAAGTCTTAAAAAGTCTTAAATTTACTTTTCCAAATTTAAGGCCTTGAAAATCCTTAAAAATGACAAATAATCCTTAAATACAGTTTCCAAAGGTCTTAAATTACCAAAGACCCAATAAACTAGATTATTTTATTCCTATGAAATTTTTGTGAATTTCTAGTTAGTGTTGAGCATTTTTGTGTATGATATTGGCAAAAGCAGAACCATACACGTTCAGTTGGTTGTGAAAGGGGGCTGTTTTTAGATGAGCACATTAGCTGGTTAAGCTAGTGGGAGCTTGCGCCATGGGGAAGTGCAAGTTTAATGGTAAATGGATGGCTAATCCTATGTTCGCGACGTGGTTAGCACCGGTTCCAGGCAATAGCTGGAAATTATAGCAGAAATTTAATTTAAAAAATTAGCTTAAATTTGGTCAAAGTGGCCTTAAAAAAGGTCTTAAATGTCTTAAATTTGGCTCCCTTAAACCTGCAGTTACCCTGTTAGGGCTTCTTTGAGTCATTAAGTCGACCATAAACTCCTCAGTAGACAGTAGACCAATGTTTTCATCAGTCATAAAATGAACAATAATCCCAAACAATAAATCTACAGCAGAATGGCTGAAAAAGTCAAAAATCAAGTCTAGACTTCGATTCAGTTAACATGCAGTGGTGTGGCCTAAGGAGGGCTGCTCATAAATGAGTGCTCATGAACCTCAATGAACTGAAGCAAAATTGTAAAGAAGACTAGACCAAAGGTCTTCCACAACTATGTGTGAAACCTTTGATAAACTTGATAAGTCCACCAGTAACAGGAGATTCACATGAGATTAGATTTGAGTATTTTTAGAACCTTTCACCTAAAATAGGTTTACTGATTAGTAAAACTCTAGAAAAAAAGACGACGGACGTTATTCTTCTCATGACTATCCAGGAGCATATGATAATGGTCATAGATTGACTGATTATTGGTAATCTTTTGAGGTCAAACACATTGTTTCAGTAATCAAATGTTCAATATTTGTTTTAGAGGGGGGTCATTTTCCTTAGAAAAGACATACTTTAACACCACATTTTTACATTCTTTATCCCAGAGATTATTTTAAATGTGCAGACAACGACTGAGAAATCACCAAAAGTATTGCAGTAATCTGCTTCATGCAGGACTGTTTACTGTCTGTAGCTGTGGATGAGCCTACTGCATGCAACACAGTCAGCCTTGCATACCATCAGTTTGATAAACTTTTGCTTTGCCTTCAGTCTGACTTTTAATGAAGTGAAAACTTCTTGCCCCCTCCCCCAGTTTGTCTAGAGGAACCCTGTTCTGAGGGGGTCATTTAATGGGGTAAATAAGAGCCTCCTTGCATGTCTAACATTCTCCTCCAGAGGGCACAATCGTTATGTATCCCATATCTGCTTGTTACTGCTCCCCTAAACCTTCAGGTCAAGCTAATTAGGAGGAAGTAAGGTAAGTGAGTGCAATTAGCCTTTTGGTTGGGTGTTTAATGATGCTCAGTTCAAACTCTTGTCATTAAAGTCCTGTACCTGGGCCATAATTAGGCATCGAATACACTCAGATAGAGGTGACTATGCCAGATGGACATAATTACTGCTCAGCCAATCAAGGACTGTCTTAATGAGGGTAGTGGTCATTTGAGTACAGGCACCAGATGAGTGCTATCAATCAGATAATACATTGAGAGGCTAGAGATAATAATCCAAATACAATATGACCCTGGGGCACAATCTGATGCTATAATCACCATAGTTTGTTGTAAAGGTGATAAACCCAAAGAAATTTCTACGAAGAGAGTTTCTATTAAAATTCAAAGATTGCACATGAATGTGTGATTAGCAGATTTCCCAAAAGGAGCAAAGTCAGACTAAAAGAAAGTCATGAGTGTTTTTCTTGGATTGACGGGGAAAGAGGGCAAACACGGTCCTGCCCAGAGTTTAGCTCTTGCACAAAGGAGTTTGAGGTTTGCTAAGAATCTTAAAAACCTGGAGGCTTAAATTTGATCTAAACCACATTTGTCATTTTTTTCTGCTTGATATTTATGGCTCTGAAAATAGGCTTCACTTCTGATTCGTTCTGGTAGCAGCCATCCAAATTGCCTTCCCCAGAAAAGCAGGAGAGTCAGTAAGGGTGCAATGGCTCGCTGTCAGCTCCAAAATGGCTCTTCTCAAATTGGCCTGAGCGCACCCTCACTCTCTTTCACACACGTGGCTGTTGTCCAAACCTGATGTCACCTTCAAAGTTATGAAAGCTTACATTAATTTGAACTTAACATCATTTTCTTTGCATCCTTCTCCCCCCGTAGGATTACTGGTGGACGTCTTTCATCACTATAAGTACCTCTTCTATATGTGCGGAGGAGTGATCATAGCTGGTGGGGTCTTTCTTTTTGTCTTGAACGTCTACAACTACCACATGCTTGAAAAAGAAAATTTGGAGAAAACCACAGAGCCAAACCAAAACACTCTGGAGAACCAGGAGCAGGCAGAGACGGAGCTGACTGAACCTGTGGCAGAAGAGATGATAAACACGGCCAAACATAATCCAGAACTGAGAAGTAGTGAAGAAACAAATTAAACAATTGACTGACTGATGTCTTACCCAGCTGCCTTCTCTTACATTCGCTTCATGGTGAAAGGATCAAAGGTAAAAGACAGAACCTATGAGCCTTAATCGCTGGTCCAGATCTGGAAAATAAAAAAAGGCTTTATTTTTTTTACTTCAATGTCGTTTAATGGGACATTTGTGTTTTTAAAATTTAGACCAAAGTTGCAATGAGCCAAATAAGATGCAGTCATGCTGGCAGTGCCAAATATACGACGAGTCCAGCTTTGCACATGCAGGGTTTACAATAAGTGTGCTTTTACCGTTTAGGTTAAACGGTTCTTTTTTAAAAAGATAAAAATTTACATATAATGTAGGGCTGCACAATATTAGGGAAAACATGCAATTGTGATATTATTTGATATTGTGATCAGTAAACCCAAATGTTCAACGTTTACGTTAATGCTTTGGCCACTAACGTCTAGATTAGCTGTGAGTTTTCCTGGTACCATCTGACTCGCCAAACTAGCTAATTGTTTTAATTATTTATTGTAATACTTTGTGATACAAATGTTACATACTTTAATGTTACATCGACAATTCATTTTACATATATTGTGCAGCCCTTGGCTAATGAGATTTATTATGAGTAGTTGTAGCCCTGATCTATCTATTCATTTATTCAGCCATAATATTATGAACACCTGCCTATGACCAACCAGGGCATTGATGAAGAGCATCTAGAGGTACCCTGGGATGTCAGGTATGAGGATTTGACCAATAGAAGGCTTAAGCGATGTGGAGTGTGTGTCTTTTCGGGAAAGTGGTTTGGTTCGAGTGTAATTCAAATGTTAGGATGTCTAAATGTGTCAAAGCAGCATTCATGGGTGACCAAACCAGGATCACCTGCTTAACACTGTTGGCTCTAAATGACACTCAGGCAACAATATCACAGATAATCCTGAAAACCTTTGGAATGAATCTTTGCAGGGACTTCCTCTGGAATGTGATAATGAACTCACTAGTCTTATGTTACATTTTACTGCTCATAAATCAGCACAGTTTTCTTTGTGAAAACAATTTATTCTGTGTGATAATTTGAATAACCTCAGGGAGGATGGTTATGAGATAATACAAGTGCTAATAAATGTTTCATCGTTTTTATTTCATTAGAATCTACAGTGACAAAACAGGTAACGTTTGCTGTGACTGCTATTATTCAGTAAAAATCTGCTGTGGATACTAGTGTCTTTAAATCCTTGTCCATATTTATTAAAGGAAATGAACTTTGATATTGAAAGACAAACAAATTGGTGTGTTTCTCAGTTGACTAAACCCCCTGCTGACATTTAAGAGTGGTGTTTATTTATTTATTTAGGAGACAATGGACTTGTCCCTTCATTCGTTTTCCTTCACTCAACCGGGTCTAAATCCGAGACCATGGTCTTGAATCTAGAAAGTGTGAAATTCGATAGGCGGATTGGTGCTGCGTCTGCAGTACTGTGGGCGTTGTACCGGTCTGTCGTGGTGAAGAGAGAGCTGAGCAGGAAGGCGAAGCTCTTGATTTACCAATTGATCTACCCTCACCTATGTTCACGAGCTTTGGGTAGTGACCGTAAGACCGAGGTGGCAGATACAAGCAGCCAAAATGAGTGAGGGTGGCTCGACTCTACCTTAGAGATAGGGTGAAAAGCTTGATCATCCGGGGGGGGGGGGGGGGGGGGGGCTGGGGGGGGGGACTCGCAGCTGGGCAGCCTCCTCGTCGAGAGGAGCCAGTTGAGGTGGCTCAGGCATCTGGTCAGGATGCATCCTAGATGCTTCCCTGAAGAGGTTTTCTGGGCATGTTCAACTGGGAGGAGACCCAAGGAAAGACCCTGGACACACTGGAGGTATATGTCTCACGACTGGCCAGGGAACGCCTTGGGATGGAAATGGGGACTGGGAGAGGGAAGTCTGGTTCTCTCTGCATAGGTTGCTGCCCCTGCAACCTGACTCCGGATAGGCGGTTGAAAATGGGTGAATGGATATTTGGGTCCGTGTTGCAGGGGTAGTATCTCTAGTAGAACATCCCAGACAGCCACTTTTACCAGATCCTCTGGCAGGACCCCAAAGTGTTCCCGGGCCAGACTGGATATGTACTTACTCCAAAGTGTCCTGGGTCAATCTGGGGGCCTCCTGTTGGTAGGACATGCCCAAAACACCACACCAGAAAGGCGTTCAGGCGGCATCCTGACAACATGCCCGAACCACCTCAGCTGGCTCCTCCTGATGCGGAGGAGCAGCTGCTCTACTCCAAGTCCCTCCCGAATGCCCTAGCTCCTCACTCTATCTCTAAGGTTGAGCCCGGCCACCCTCCAGAGGAAGCTCATTTCAGCCGCTTGCATCTGCAATCTTGTTCTTTCGATTACTACCCAAAGCTCATGACCATAGGTCAGGGTTGGGACATATATTGACCGGTAAATCAAGAACCTTTTCTTCTGTCTCAGCTCTTTCTTCACCACAACAGACCAGTTCAGTGTCCGCATCACTGCAGATGCTGGATTTGGATTGTGTTACTTGACTTAATACAGACTCGGAAACACTACAATAAATAATCAGTATTCAAGTTATTGGCATCTATATTATTTTTCTCAAAGCAATTTCTAATTTCCACGAGTGTCTAATGTGTAGAGATACCTCTGCGTTGTTTCACTACAGGTGCAGGTAACATGATCAACCCAAATAAAAATGTAATTGATTATTTTGTGAATCTGTCTTTCACCAATCCCATCAGACATTCTGAGTTTCTTTAATCTCTTATAGTATTAACCAAGACACGTGAAAGCTTGTTCACCCAGAGAAGTAAAATGACACTCCAACACATGAGAAATGCCATCAAATCAAGATCTACCGTGTAAGATTCCCAGGGTCGGTGTCCGATTTTTCATGACAATTAGGAGACAGAGGAACAAGTTTGGAAATGTCAGCAGCTTAAGGGTGTGGGCGCCTAATGAAGCGAGGCCCCGATGTTCCAGGCTGCTGCTCTGAGCTGCATGCAGCTTCATACACATCAGCAAATCATTGGGCCAATAAATTACAACTGCAGAGACAAACACACATGCACAAGTCCTTTTACCTTTATTTATTTATTTATTTATTTTTGCTATCTCCTGTCCCTTTATTGAGTATTTTGCAAGGACTTCGGACATGACAAGGTGGAAAGGTTCCCCAGAGACAAAGCTGTGGGTATTGCAGCCGGGAATCTGTTTGTCATTATTATATTCCGGCTCACCTCCTGTTCCCCTCTGGCCTGCTGTGTTTCTGTGATGCTCTACAACTGTTGTCCTCCATGCACATAGTGAAAAAAGACCAGCTAGTTTCCAGAAGGTCTACGAGAAGTTAAGGTTGAAATGAAAAAAACAAAAACCCTAACCCTAAATAACAAACCATGAAGCAGCTTAATAATAGCTATGGAGCAAAATCAAAGTTGCAGCACTTTTTGGGAGGGAATGTAAAAACAAATTTAATGTATTTTCTAGAATGATCACATTTTGTTAAGTGTGAAGGAGCTGAAAACAGAAACAACACAACACTCAGCCTCATGTTTAAGTGTTTTGTTGTAATTACTTATTTGATGCTTTAGAAACACCATAATAATGTGCAGGGAGACTTTCAGTTCCACAACCTGATTCTGAAACACAAGTCAGCGCCTATGATTGTAGAAATACTAACAAACCCTCCGTGATGTCAGCTATAGGTTTCTAAAGGGCTCTGTTGAAGCCTAATGGGTGGTTCTGATCACCGCCATCTTGGCCATATCCCACGTCTAGACATTCCCGGACAGGGGCGGCATTAGGCCCGGCTACTTGGGCTCAAGCCCCGAATCTTTAACGAAAAGCCCCGGATCTCACAACGGTTCTTCACAACAGTTGGACATCCACAGAAATTACGCAGCTTGTTGAGTTGATGCATGTTTCACGTTAGAGTCCATCAGTAATTTTCTGGCTAAACGTGCCCACAAACCTCCATTAGCTTTGGTTAGCTAAGTTAGCTTAAAGCTGAGATCAATGGTGGACTTAAATCCTCAAAATTCCACTGTCTGCTTCACCTCTTTGTCCATTTTTGTATTGTCTGGGAGACATATAGATGACGTCACAGAGGGTTTGTCCATCTTTTTGTAACATTCATTGGTCAATATGGAGCCTAATGGGCTCGACACCGGGAGGCGACAAACAACTGAGATCAGCTAAATTTGTCACCATCGCTTTTATTACCTAACACACGGGAGGCGATCCGCGGCAGCGGCCAGTGGCAAAGCCGTCTACGCGTTCTGTTCCATGGCGAAATCGAAACTTCCGTTGTTTTGTTTGGCTGTGTCAGGTTGGAGGGAATTAAGGTTATTTAAGTGGTTCAGAGTTAATAAAGCGGTAGATATGATGTTTCACAAGGTGCTGCTAGAGTTATGTGAAATCTTACTTCTGATTTTACTATATAAAACAATAATAATCAACTTCTCCTCCATGTTTGCTCGGAGGTGTACGGAGCATCCTGTCTGCTCATTGGTCAGTGAATGAAACCTCCGATGATTGGTCCTCGTCCGAGCGACAGCAATGAAAAGTTGAAAATGTTTCAACTTTCTGGGATTGCGTCGCTGGGTCGCCTGTGCACGACACGTGCACGAGCACAAAATTTCACACGCACGTTTTTCGCGTTTCGCTTGGTAGGAGGGAGACCTGCGATTATCGCTTTGTCGCGCATGTCTCATTGAAAATGGATGGAGGAGAGGCGATGTCGCCTCCCGTGTGTCAAGCCCATTTATCCACTTCTGCACCATGGGTCTCCGGAAGAAGGAAAAAATGAATGCAAGTCAACGGGGCTAAAAGAGCTATTTTCTAATCCGCTTTGCCTTACGCCCTGGATCGCACATATGTTGTACTGCAATTTAAATGAAAAGTAATGATGTGTTTTTCTGTCATGCCAGTCACGTACTTTGAGATTTATTAGCTTGAAAAAGTTTGTAATTAAAATAACTACAAACTAGAAATCTGCACATTGCATATGTGATGTCACCACATAATCTCCTCTACACAACGTAGCTGCTACTTACCAAATGACCAGATTTATGGTGGTTCTTTCCTCCTGTGGGAAGTTTGCTGAACTTACAGCCCTTTTACCTCAGTTTTCTCCGTGTCTGGTTCGATCACGTCACTTTCGTGAAGCGCATTTGTAGTTCTGGACTTATTTTCACACAAAACCTAAAATAGCGTTTTTCCCCTGTTCGAAAATAGGCACGTTCTTGGTATCAAAATGTGTCTTTAAAATTCACGGACATCATACAAGAAATCCATGGCACAAAACAAGTGTAATTAGAAAATAGCATTTTTAGCCCCATTGACTTGCATTAATTTTTTCATTCTTCCGGAGACCCATGGTGCAGAAGTGGACTTAGGCTCCATATTGACCAATGAATGTAACAAAAAGATGGACAAACCGTGGAGACCCACGGTGAGGAAGTAGGTGGGCGTGACATAGGCTCCCTATTGCAGAATGATTGGGGGAGGAGGTGGGCGTGGCCAGCCACAGCTTGCTTTTTTAAGTAACAGAGCCTTAAAACGGCTAAATTTGGAAGTTACTGAAATTGACAAAAATAAAACTGCAAACATTTTAAAAGATTTGGTCGTGCCTTCTTTCTGACTAGCAGTTAGCTCGTCAGTCTAGTCTGATGTAATCCAGCCTTAGGTTGTTAAAGACATGTCCACATTAGGCAAGGCATTAACTGTGTGCAGCTATTTCACAAAACCCACTTAAAATATTTTAACCATCACTGAAAGTCATATCAGTGACTTTAAATACTAAAAGTGCTCTTCTAGACAGGAGTCAGAGCCTGTTTCTCACTTAGGGCTCAATGAAGAATGAAAAAAAGTATTTCTAACCATAATTGACAGCTTTCAGTTTACTGTCAGTTCTTGTCTGAATGACTGGGTGGCCTGGAAGTGGATGTTGTAATTAGTTTTCACTCTTGATTAAGGGACCATGACTGCTGAGGTGTCATGATGTACTCCATAAATAGAGATCAGACCAGAGTCTGGTGTCAGGATGTTGATTATTACAACCTTTGGATCTGCGTGTATTCAAGCTTGGTTGTTTACAATACAGTTCTGACCTGATGAGTCAGAACCTGTGTTGCACAAGCAAAGAGTCGGAGAGAAATAAAAGAGGAAAGAATGTGCTTCAAAAGGGCTCAAAAAGCACCGGCATCTATCAACGGAAGAAATTGAAGGGGATGTTTCAGAGCAGCAGAGATTAGATAAATGTGGAGAGTGTTGTGCAAAAGCCACCAATGCAATGCTTTATTCTCAGGAGTGACTTCAAAC